CTGAACAATAAAAACATCTCCCTTCCTGTGTACACCATTTTCCCCTACCTTTTACCAGACAGTATTTAGTAACAAGACTGAGGGTGACCCATTGTCATTCTACTGATCTACTGATACCTTTTTAAATACAAAAAAATATTCATATAGTCATTATGCTTGTTTAGAACGTTAGCTTTTGCAGATTATGAAGTAAATATAGGCTGGTGTTTCTGAGTTTGACAGTGAACAGACATCCACTGAAGAAAGACATAAGAATAAGCCAAGAATGAGAAACTGGTAAGGCGCATCTTCTGCCACCATAGTTTGTTGAAAAGCTTGCAAGGTTATGATTTATATGCTCTTGTAAATTTGTTTACTAATATTTCATCTGACAGAGTACTTCTGTGAGATAAACAGCTCAGTGTATTTAAATCCGCATGTGTCCAGGTGGCTCTTGAAGAAGAGGCACCTACTTTTCAGGCCCAATCCCTTGTTCCTTATGCCAACACTGTTATTAATTGCAGTTGCTATGCAATGAACGGGATTAGTGAACCGATATGGATTTAGAAAACCCAATTTTTTTATTAATTTGTTTTCTAGCATGCCATGGGGACACAGCAAGGGGACGAGACAGAGTTTATCACATTAAACATAGTACAAAGCCAAACCTGACTCAGCACACTGGGAGATTATTTTTTCAGCAGGATGTGTTCCCTGATGGGATTTACAGATCAGGTACATAAATGAGGGAGGCAGCAAGTAGGAGCAGCTGAGAAAAAGAATGGTGGGACTAAGCATGTCAGTGACAGGCCAGATTTATGTCAGATTAAAATGACTACATAGCCTAAGAAGCATTAAAATGACTACACAGCCCAGAATGACTATACAGCCATTCCCTAAGAAGAACACACATAGGGAAAGCAGGTCACAAAAGCACGCAGCGTACAACAGCTTCTTAAAAAGCAGCCTCACAAACACAAAACATCCATCTTACTGAGAATTTCATGCACATGGTTCCCTGGCCGTGGAATTTACTATATATTCACATTTGCTTAGCAGAAGTATAAACTGGAAGACGTGAGGATTATATTGAAATATTTTACATTGGAAAGCTATCACTGAGAAGCTGGGTGGAATGTGACAGCAATGCATGGCACCAAAGCCCTGCCAGCAACCTGGCCGAAACTTGAGCTCGGAGGATTTTCCCTCATTTAGGTTCAAGCAGCTGGTTGGTATCCTAAACCTTGATACTGAATATTTAACATTGTTAACTGTTTCCTCACTTGTATTTTAGCAGAAGCATTTCCACGACACCTAATATTTCCACTAAACTGCTGTCTTTGACAATAAATCATTCCTTGTTGTAATGTTGCAGCGTTATAAACATTAGTGGAAATCAGGCAATGTACGGTATGTTGTTTTTGCTGTAAAACGTAAATAACTTTGGATCACATTTAGGTAATAGAGAATAATGGGGTGTGCATGCAGGACCAATAGGACAAATTAGAGCTGTGCTATAGGTGTACTGTCTTCATTGCTCGTTAATGATTTCTTTACTCTGATGTGTACAGAAAAGACTGAGTCATCAGAATGAGTGTAGGTGGTGAAACAAATCTGTTTTATTTGTAGCTCTGCCACTAACATATTAAGTGACCTTGGACGACTGGAGAAGATGGACTGTGCTTCAGCTTCTATGAAACTTCTGGGTGTATTCAATCCCAGGGGAGACTGAATCAGAAGAATATAAAAGTATCCATTAGCTCAGAACAAAAATCCATCTAGCATAGTACCTGGATGTCTGGAATATAATAGGCAAGAAACCATGATGGGGCTTTTGACTACTATTCTACAGCGATCTGTGGCTCAGTGACTTCTCAAGGCAGAGATGGCTTCTATGTATTTACTAACCCTCTTGTTTCTCTTCTTTAAACCTAGCAAGACTCCTCTTGATGTAAACTTCCATAATTTTCAGCATCCATGGCAAGGTCCTCCACAGCTTAACTATGTGAAGAATCACGTTTGTGAACAAAATCCTTTTGTTCATTGAACATTTCACCTACCAGCCTCCCCTGGTGTTTTACAGTTCTTCTATTGGGAGAGATGGTGAGCTGCTTCTTAATTGTCATACTGTCCCCTTGTAGAAAACTGCACCCATTTAGACCTGAGACTGCATACATAAAATGCCTGTTAGGAGAGATGTCAGAATCATTGGCAGAGGCTTTGGCTTTCTCGTTCTGATGTTCTTCTTGCAAGACCCTCTGCCCTGATGTTTTTCAACTTAGATATCAACCAGTGGAGCTTACAAGGTCTGGGAAACAAATTGTACAATTGTCACTATGTAGATGTGGTAAATCCACAATAAAGCAAATTAATATCTATTTCTTAATGCCTGAGCCTTCTGGGATGCTTTCTCAATTTGGCCTCAAGCCCTTTTCTCATTTGGCCTCAAGCAACTCTTGTCTGCTAAAACATCTTGGCTCCTTCTATCTCATTTGCAATGTACCTTTTCCCCGCTTCTTTATAGTTTTAAATACAGCTTCTGTAGTTTTAAATACAGGACTTTTATCCTGTGTTAAAAAGCTTATTCTGACTTCAGCAAGAAATCTCACAATTTTAAACTTCAAAGAAATCTATTTCTGGAGGTTTAGCAAAACATCTGGACATCTAGCAGAATACTACAGTGCGTTCCTCTTTCCTTGCACAGACTCTGCATTTGCAGTATAGGTATTGAATTAGGCTGAGCCTGTACAAACCTGAGTTAGTTGAACTGCAATCACTAGGAATTTGTCTGGTTGTAGTCAAGATTGTTATGTTTTCTTGTTTCTCTAAGAAGGTGAAGAAAAGGTCAATGTGTCGTTTCCAAGAACTGTTGTTTTTAAGGTTTGAGTTGCACTGGTTCCTGATCACCTTGTGCTGACAGATAAGACAGAAATCCATGTTTTTTTCAGCGCATCCCAGTTAAACCAGTTCTCTCAGCTGGAAAGAAATTGGACAATACATCATCCAGATAAATAAAGCTCTCCATACAGCTGTGTATCATACTATGGACAATGGTATCATTCTTTCTAGAAGTCCTTAAGTATTGTCAACCATGTAACATTTCTTCTTTTGATGTATAAGGAAAAAACCATCTTCATCTTAAAACTGGAACGGTAAGTCACCTATAGTGAGAAGAAGATACAGTAGTAGTTGTACTCTGAATGTCTTACAGCTCTTTGCTAAGGCAAGAATTAATTATAAGCCTGGATAGAGCTGTCTAGTTTTCTTGCAGTAGCAAGCAACTGAGTCAGGATGTAAGCCTGGTTTCCTGACCTGCAGCCAGTACTTACCTCTGAAAATAAAGGCTTTTAAGCTTAAAATTAAAGTTTTGCTAAGCTTCATTACATTGTCTTGTAAACTTTGTTTGGTACTCTTTCCAGGGCGGAGGTCATTCTGGGGACCCTCCCAGAGTTGAGATTTCTTGAAGTTTATATGGGGAAATGGCATATGGGTACTGTCCTGTGATGGAACCACAGGCAGGCCCAATGACTAGAGAAGAGCCACTGTATGTACAGAGGAATGGAAGAGCATAAAAGTTTAAGTGCTTTGTTTTCCCTTGCCCTTGGTGGAAGCAAGTATTTTATCAGCTGCATTGGAAAATTTTGGGTGGTCTGTTAAAATTTTGCAGCTGCTTACAGGTTCAGTGACACATCCTCCTACCTTGCATGTTGGAACACAGAGGTGCGGAGCTAACCATTCTGCTGAGCTCACTGCAGTGCTAAGGGGTGACAACACTAGGACAGCAGAGGATCAGGAGCAAAATAATTGAACCATGGTAACTCCATCTGTTTCAATACTCTCCCAAGGAGAAGTTATGATAGAGCATTTTCAGTTTCAGAACAAAAAGGCAACTTGTCTGGTTAATGGATAATTCCAGCTACAAAACTCAGGGAAATCATAGCTCCAGCATGGCTTTCATTTAAATCAGATCTAGCTTTGATGTTCATAATGTACAGAAATAACTGCATTTTTCCTTATGATTGGTAGAGGACATTCTCGTTCCAGTTTCCTAGGCCACTACTCTTTTCCCAATTGCTGTTTTGTTTTAAAGGAAAAAGCTTCACCTCCATGTAAATCACAGGTCTGGTCACTAGTTTCTGCAGAGATGCCTGTCCCCTGCTTCAATTCCTCAGTGACCGACTTCAGGCCATGAAGGTACAGACCCTGAATTGCAGAAGGGGAGGCGCAGGTTGAAGCTGCATGGGGCAGAAATGGGGTTTGCGGCGTGGGGTGGGGGAGAGGCCTGCTGTGGGGCAGGGGGAAGATGAGCTGCAAAATACCTAGAAATACTGGGACTACAGTCACAGAATCATAGAACGGTTTGGGTTGGAAGGGACCTTAAACATCATCTGGTTTCAACACCTCTTTGATGGGCAGGGACACACACGTTCCACTAGACGAGGTTGCTCAGAGCCCCATCCAACCTGGCCTTGAACACTTCCAGGGATGGGGCATCCACAGCTTCTCTGGGCAGCCTGTGACAGTGCCTCACCACCCTCAGTAAAGAATTTATTCCTAATGTCTAATCTAAACCTTCCCTCTTTCCGTTTAAAGCCGTTTCCTCTTGTCTTATCAAATAATGGGTGCGTTTGAGTTGTTGCATGAAAATACCCTGAAAAAGGAAAAAACCCCAATTCCCCAGAGTAAAAATACAGAAAAATTTTCCATTCTGAAGCTGAACCGGTAGGGTGGGGTGGCAGAAGGGAGCTGTGCCCCTCGCCTCCCCTTTTGACACAGGCGGTGCCAGTCGAGGCCGACGAGGTGGAAAGGTTGTGGGTGGATTAGGACCCTTTTCAGAAAAAAAAAAAAAAAAAAAAAAGTAACCTTTATTAAAACCAAAACAGCTGAAAAACAAGAAGGCTCCGCGGACCCCACAGCGTCGCTCCTCCCCACGGGCCGTCAGCGCGGGGAGCGGCGCCGCGCCAGGCGCTTCCTGCCGCGCCAGGCGCTTCCTGCCCCGCCCCCGCCGGGAGCGGCGCCTGCGCGCTGCCAGGGGCACCTGAGGGCGAAGGGGCTCGGCCATGGCGGCCTCCATGATCTGCGGCCGGGCGTCGGCCGGGCTCAGGGGCAGTGGTCTCCGCGCCGCGCTGGGCTCCGCCGCGGGGAAGGTACAGCGGCCGCTCGGGAGAGGGGGCGGGCCGGCGGAGCCGGGGCCGAGGCAGAGCCGGGCCGGGATCGCAGTCGCTCCCTGTGTAGCGCCGGCGGGAGGAGCGGCCGTCTCATCCCGCTCCCGCCGCCGTTCTGCCCTGCGGTGCTGGCAGGGCTGGCAGCCCTGTGCTTACCTTCGCCCCCCCGCGGGCGCTGTTCTTGCTTGTGGCAGCTCTTCCCGGCGTGGTACCGTTTCCATTCCTTTTCAGCGCTCCCCTCCCCTAACTTGCTTGGAAAACCCCATGTTTCCATCTCCGCCGTCACCTTGCCCATAGGGACAGGTCGGGCTGTGTCAGTCAAATTTTTGCAGCTCTCATCTCCGCCAGCCTCCGCTCTTGATTTCTGTGAGTGCCGTTGCGGGGCAGGGGCTTGGTTTTGGCTGCAGCACTCCTGGCAGGCAGTGCAAGCGAAGGAGCTGCGGGGGCTGCCGTGAGAGGCACAGCTGTGACACCCGGTGCCGCTCTCTCCTCCTGCCGCCTACGGGGGAGGGTCGCTGTGAGCGCCCCTCTCGTGTTACGCGCGGCCTCCCGGGGCCGGCGGTCAGTCGGCGCCTCTCCCTTGGGTTCTGTGCCAAGGAAAGGGCCTCCTGCTTGCAGGAGGAATCCTTTGGAGGTTAAATAGGCCCTGCCGATTCGCTACCTTGGAATGTCATAGTAAAGCTCTTTCGTTTGTCTGCTTGCTTATTCAAAGTGAAACAAAAAACCCCTTAAAAATCCTGTCGAATAGAAACTTCCTAATACAGGCTGATTTTTGCTTTGGTGCTTCTGCATTCTAAAGAAAAAAAAATTAATGGAAAAGTTTGTAATCGTTTTGCCATGAATTTTTTGGTGCTAATCTCTGTTCATGGATTAGCTGAATTCAGTGGGTTTGCTGTTTCATGTGTGTAAAAAACTAAGGTCTTGTTCCTGTATAGTGAAATACAGAAAAAAAGCAGCAAACGTTTTTCACTTCTGTTGCCAGTAATTTTCATGTTACAATATGCTTCTGAAATTCCTCAAGGTTATTTTCCTTACAGGTGTTTTCCATAAAGTACTTAAATGTTAACTGAATAGTCAAGGGTGTTTTAACCCTGCCCGGTCCTTGTCAGTGCTAGCAGCTTCATCAGCTCTTTTCCACTGCCCAATAAAACCTCCAAAACTAAATACCTGATTAGACATGAACGACTGATGTGGAAGGGTAGGGTTAAGTGTTCAGGTGTTTGCATTAGGATACTGACCTGTGCTTGTTGAATCTGTAGACTTTTTTTAACCTAAACAAAGCAGGCAGTTTTTCAGAACAGTCATGTTCTTTGTTGGTTTTGTTTTCTTTTTTTTAAAATTCTTTTCCTTTAGGCACTTGCTGGAGGTCCAGGAATACTCAACAATCATGGATTTCAGGTGCAACAACAGCAACAGAGGAAGCTATCGCTCCATGAATACCTGAGCATGGGACTGTTGAAGGAGGCTGGTATTTCTGTTCCACATGGAATAGTTGCCAAGACACCAGATGAAGCTTACAAAATAGCAAAAGAAATAGGTATAATATTAAAGAGAACTTTTACAAATAGGCATGGGATTGATACAAGGTGTAACTGCTTTTTCTTTATCGTGGTAAGGCATTGGTTGGAGTTCTGAATATACCTTCTCTTTAAGAGAGTCCTTCCTGTGAAGCAGCCTTCCTGTTAAGAAGGAATAGGTCAAGTATAAATTGTATTAGCCTAGACTAATATAAGTACCTAAACTTTGAGATGAGTAATAGACTCTCTGCAAATCCTGGATTTCTTTCTGCTTTCAAGCAAGCTTAAAGAAAATCTTGTGTGAAGAGCTTCAGTGGTGGTGACAAGATGTCATAGAGAGCAGAAGATGCAAAACATACCTACCTTTAGGCTGCAAAAGAAGAGTAAAGTCCTCTCCTTTGTGAGTGTGCTTTTCTGGCAGAATGCACCTGCTTCATTCAGGAGGGGAGCGCTTTGATGGCTTGTAGTTATACACTTAACTCTTGGATTTTTGGTGGAAAAAGTATCCAGTCTCATTTGCCTGTTGCTTAAATACCTTATTTAGGATGAGCTTTAATTTGGACTTGACTCTGCCTATTAATTTGCCACTTTACCTACTATGTGTACAAGTAAAATTTTTTTGTTTAATTTGCATGTAATATATAATCAGCTTCTATTGTGTTAGGCATTAATAGGTGGAGTCTTTTTGGTTGGTTGATTTGCTTGTTTGGGTTGTTTTTTAATGTAAAGTTAAAGGGTTTTTTCCCCCCTGGAAAAATATAGTAGGCTTGTCACATAGTTTTAATGAAGGGTGTTACTTGTATTCCACTTTCCTATGTACGTGCCCAAATCTCTATTTACCTCCAGATGGATACATTTGTAGTGAATCCTGAGGTTATAGGTTTTGTTAAAACCTTTTCAGTTTCATGTGTAGATTTAATTTAAGAAATGAAATCTGAAAAGATAATTTTTTTTCTGGAGCACGTTATGCTGCTTTGTAGTGTAGAAAGGAATTGAAAAGCTCTGATGTCCCAGAAATTCAGGTGTTATCTGCCTGTTTCTGTTAGAGAGTAAATGATACAAAATTATAATAATTTTATTAATATGAAAAGAAGAGGCTAAAGTACTTCTGAGAATGGTTTAAAATTCAGGCCCTCACCTTCTGTCAAGAGTGAGCTTGTAGCATGATCAGAACTTCACAAATCAGGCATACCCCTTTGCTCTATTTTAATATCTGCACAGATCTTGCTGGTAGCAAATGAGACACAACCTTTGTCTATGGCTCTTCAATCAACAGCCCAGAAACTCATAGGTCAGGGTTCTTTTGTCTTGTTCCTTGTTCGGAATGGGATCCTATAGCAAAGTAGGTACATCCAACTGCTGTTTTATAGCTCTGTGTCATCCATGTGATGTCACAGGTATTCCTCTTATCTGGAGCGTGTGACTCTGTGCAGTTTCTTGGGGATCACAGAAATGAAGCTTTGCTGTGGATGAGTTAGCATCCTTCAGTAAAGGAATTCAGCCAGATACTTTGTTGAAGTTGGTGTGTATTCAACACTGTGGCTGAGATGAGGAAAGGAAGACTTCCCAAAAGGAAGAACACGCTGAAGGATCTTGAATTTTTGAGGCATTGCTTAAACATGAGCTTATTCTAATTCGTGACAGATTATCCTTTGCTCCAGGGGTTTTCTTTGTTATTGTTGCAATTTACCCACTAGTTTTCATTTAGTATGCACTTAAAAAAAAACAACAAAACACAAACCAAACAACACAAATCTCTAGCAAAATGAAAAAAAAATTAATTTTTTTTGTCCACCTGCTTATTGTTTATTTTTGTTGTGTAAGAGTAGTTGCCAGTAGATATGAAATTATTTTTTTTCTTTTTATGTGTTAAACTGCTTTTTCAAAAGTGTCTCTAGACTGTTACAAAGACAGTTGGTAATTCTCTTTGCTCTGTTTCCGTAGCACTGAACCACATGCTCCTGATAAATTTACACAGAGCAGATTTCTGACTAAAGGTTGAGTTTGGCATTGGATTTCTTTTGCAAATACTTGACTTAGAAACTGGTAACTTTTTATCCAATGTATAACAAGTAAAAAAGTCCCATTAACAGTGATTATCCCTGTTAGCTGTGGCTGTAGGTAAATCAGTGTTACATGAACATCTCGCTTAAATTTTGAAAAAATGATCTAAGTCCTGTTCCTGAGTGTTGATAAGAGGCTGCAGCATGTCCTGATGATTGCCCCCAAGTTTATGGTTTGCTCTCAACCATGTGTGTGTTCCAGCTAGCACTGTGAACAGTTCTGATTTAGAAGCTGATACGTGTTTGTTATCAAGAACATGACTAATGAACCTAAAGACTATTTCTTGAAGAACATATGCTTTATCAGTGTGAAAGCAGAAAACAAACAGCATTTCAAATAGTGTGTTCTGCTGAGCTAGACAGCACCTATGAAAGTGTATGTATTGCTGTAACTAAGGTTTTGATGCTTCCTGACACCTTCCTCCAGTAACAGGTGTGTGGAAGGGAGTGACATATTGTATGACTGTAGCAAAGCCTGCTTTTGTTTTGAAGCATATATTTCTATTCATGGTGATTTGAGAAGTAAAACTTTTAAAGTCATTAATATCTTGAAGAAGCTTTTGTGTTCCAGTAGTTTTGTCGGATTTTCAGATAATGAATCCCACATGTTTATGGTAGAGTGTCAAATTTTAGAAAAAAGCTGTACAGAATATGAGATGTTGAGAACTGAGTGCATAACATTTCACTTTTCTACATCAAAGTTTTTGAAAGGAGACTAAAAGCAATGGAGTCTGCTGCTTTTGCTACTGCAGTTTGAGAGATCTAGTTCAACTCCATATCTATGTGGTTTATAAAGAATGTTCTATTTTTGGTATGCTTTGGTATGACTCCAATAATTGGCTTGGCCGTATTGCTGCTGAAAGTTCCGTGATTAATAGATGGTTTTTTTTCAGACCTCTTAAGGTATTTTCAATGTTATTAAAACCTTTTAAGTTCTTTTTGATGTTATTTATTTATCCATCCGTTGCTTAGGCATACAACTGTGTCTGTTTAAAAACAAAAAACCAAAAAAGTAATTTGTAAACCTGGGTAGATTTATAAATAGAAGTTTTTCTCTCAGGCTTGATTTAGTTAGAAATCAAAGTTTAGTACAATGTATGAAAGAATTTTTTCAGGTAAAGTGCTTTTTCTTTATTAGCTCTTCAAAAGAAAGGTATTCCAGGGACTGTGGCACAATAGCTAGGGTGTTTTCTTCCCTAGTATGTGCCACACTTTCCTTGGTAGTCTGTGGTTAAGTTGTTGGGGTTTTTTATTTGTTCTATGTTGTACTGAAAGCTCATGTCTAGATTTTGTTCCCAGTATTTTTTTGGTTGTTTTGCCATTATCAGTTTTCCCCATTGGTCAATTACCTGCTTGACTATATTATCTAATGTCTTTTAGGTTATCTGTAGAGTCTGAAACTCCAGAGTGTTTGTTCAGATGCTGTAGGACATGGATGATGATCTAAAATGGCAAATTTGTGCAGAAATCCCCCAGGTGTTAAAAAAATCATGCAGTTACGTTTCTACTTACCTTGTCAAAATCTCAGGATAACCAGCAGTAGCAGGTAGTAATTCAGAAACCAAACGTACTTAAATTCTGGCAAATGTTACCTTTTTGACATCTGAAGCTTACATTTTGCTTCAGCTTTTGCTTTCTTCTGTAGTGCTTCACTCCTTTGAAGTTAAAATATCAAAACATGTTGTTGATGATAATTCACTAATTAAAGTAAACTTGTCTAACCAGCAGATTCAAATTTTGACCTCTGTATTTTAATTGCTTGACTTAGGCTGTTGCCAAAACCAAACCTGTCTTGTGAGCTGATGACGAACTTGATGCGGTTGATTAACGTCAGGAAGTATTTGAGTAGAAAATATTTTATAATAGCAAAACATCTGTTTACTCTCCTGACTGGTATGGTCCTTTCAATGAAAGTATGAAGATTCCTGGCACATAATTATTTCAGAAGTTATACTTTTGAGTCTTTGAACACTCAAAAGTTTCAAATGCTGAAAAAAATGTGAATTTGAAGTTAAAATTCTAAATTCTAAAATTATAAGTTAAAATTCTAAAACTATACTTACTAACAAAATGCAGACTGTACATCTGAAGAGATCCTCTGAATGCCTCTATTGAGAGAAGTAGGGTCAGGATATTATTTAGGTTGACACTTCTGTTGTTAGTTACAAGCCCATCTTTTTACTTCCTAATGCCAGCAAATACAACTGTATTGTTTAAACTGTTACTGTATCTGTGTAACAAAAAAAAAAAAATAGTTTGTGTTAAACCGGAGAGTTACTTTTTCTGGTACAAGAACTTTGAAATACAGACTACCTGAGGCAAAAGTTATGTGTCTCTGTCTCTCTCCCAGGATGCGTTCCAGTTGAATGTTAGTTGAGAACTTGGTTGACACTTGTGTTATTAACCTGTCACTGCCTTCTATTGTTGTCTTGTCAGAGTAGTTAGGCTTGCATAGTTATCATGAAGGCATCCGTAATATGTGGAATGCAGTATTGCTGCTGCAATTGGTGTTGGGCAGAGAAGTGGCTATTAATGCGATTTGACAAGAGTCAGAACAGAAACTTGTAAAGCAGAACGTTTCCATAAAGTTTGTCCTGAACACATCAGCGCTAAGTCAGCATTCTGCTGATTTCGGACGCCTGTCCTCATTGGTATCTACTCTTAATTTTCTAAACAATTCCTAATTTTTTTTCAGGCTGTGCTACTTGTATGTGCACTTAGTGCTGACTACCATTAACATGGAAACATGATGCTTAACACATGCTTGTTCTGAGATTTGTGCCTTGGCCCGTAGCTTGCCAACCTTGGACGGTATCTGTGCTGATGTTCTATTGCCCTGTGTTAAGGCTTTACGGTTTGTTACTGCTGCTGAAAGCTGAAGTCCTGCTCACTGAAGTGTCCCTGTGCATGTGCTTGGCACACGGCGCATAAGTCTGCAAAAGTACTGTCTGCTGGATGAGCTTTTGCCTTCAGGGAATTGTTCTTCTCAAGGCATGATCATACAATTGCTTGTGCTGGCACAAGAAAAGTCTGGAGGGATTATGTTTGCTGGTATAAACTGTCCTGGCTTTGTATGTGGGTTCCTGCTCTAGGGCAGAAACTGCTATATTTTATTAAAACAAAAGCCTAGCAGTATTTCAAAGCCATGTAAGCAAAACACAAGGGCACAACTGTTGATACTGAATAGAAAACTATGGTAGCTGCTGGTTTCTGATTTTTTTCCTTGAATTACTGTGTATCAGCAGTTCTCTGTGTCAGATTGTGTGACAGTGCTGAAGCTCTAACACTGCACAAGGGGTGTATGAGCAAACATTTCTGTCCCCTAGTTTTAGGGTAATTTTATATAGGAGCTGTGGGAAAAAATGTTTATTGAACAATAAACTTCCTGCATGGTGGCTTAAATTATGGTTTTCTTGGGACATATTATCTTAAGTTTTGTTTCAGATACATTTGTGCAGCTTAATTGCTTGTAAACATAGCTGGTTAAATAAACCTTGAAGTGTTATGTGTTTATGCAGTCAAACAGCTAGTTTGCTTGGAGTGCTGTAGGAAAACAATTTACAAATCATTAATTTCGTGCTCATTTAATGACACGGTTGTTGCATAAGGGATAGTACAATGAAGTTATAGCCAAACTGATTGTGAAAAGTCAAAAGTTGTTCTTCTCACGCTTTTTTTCAGATATTGACAAAGTTTAATGATGTATAATAATGACATTTTTAAAAAATATCTTATGGAATCAGGGGAATGATGCATTTAGCCCAATACTCTACCTAAAGATAAAAGAACATAGTATTTAGGGCAATTGTTAGCCTACCTGTTATTGCTGTCCATTACCCCTCATTTCCCTTCAGCATTCATATTTGTTGTCTTAGAAATATCAGAGGGAACATCTCTTCTCAGTTTCTTTTGACTCTTCTGTTCTTCTTTCCCATCTCCTGGCAGGCTTCATCATCTTTTGTGTAAAGAAGGGTCTTTTTTCTTGTACCATTTTAAAAATCGACCTCCCTCGGTAGGTTGCTTTTGTTCATGGGTGACGTTGAGCACAAACTGGAATGAATGATGTACATATAGTTCACAGAATCACAGAATATGCTGAGTTGGAAGGGACCCACAAGGATCATTGAGTCCAGCTCCTAGCCCTGCAGAGAACCATCCCCAAGAGTTACACCACAGTGGAGTGTTCTTGTTCTATCCCCCTCGGGTATGGCTGAAGACTGTAATCGTGTTCTTGCTTTCTTCCCCTTTGATACACGTAAAGAAGTGCTAAGCTCCTTTAGTCTTTTCCTGTGAGGGTATCTCCTAATTTCAGTGATCATCCTAGTAGCCAGAAAAAACTTCTATGTCCAGAGCTAAATGTAATGTTCCAGCTGAGATCTTACTGGAGCATTAGTTGGGATCTAGCTTTGACTTGCTCGAATTCTGGTCTTTATTTCTAGAAGGAGTGACCACCACAAAGAGGTGCCTTTGGGTGAACTTTTGGCTTTCCTGAAAACTTCTCTGTAGTAGCAGCTTTTTAGCTTCTGGCCTTATTGTAGGAAATGAAAAGTGGAGTGGAGAAATAGGACTCTCTCTTCCGAACTTACAAGTGGACTGTAAGTTAAATCTTTTTGTCTTGATTGATAAGTATATTGCTTCTGAAACATTGTCAGATCTTCCATGGAAACCTCAAAATAGTAAAATAATGCTGTGAATATATTAGATCTTAAATATTTCAGGCACTTCAAATCCTTGTAGAGGAGCCCTGGTAGATTACTCTATGAGCAAATGAACAAGTGTTAGGGGATGGGTTTTGTTAACCTCTTTAAAGATAAGAAAGTATTTTCCTCTCTTTTTTATTAACACTGAGAATTTGTGTTCCTTGTAGATACAGGGTAAATTGTTTTCAGGTGGATTGAACTTTAATCCTGCATGTTGGAGTACATGGATTCATTTATCCATGAAGCTGCTACTTACAGTCTTATTTATACATGAGGCTTAGTGTTTCCTAAAGCAGGCTTGGTACTTAGAGTAACTGAGTAAAATTTAAGTCTTGTGTGGCTTTATCAAGTATCTTACTTGATTGCCAGTACTTGGTAGCTTTAAAAAAATAGTTATCTTCAGGAAGTGAATTAGATGTTAGGTCATAGGCTGTAATAAGTTGATATACTTATGTGTTTATAACCTTCATGCTTCTTGTGGGAAAAAAAGGGCTTTAAATTTGTTGTGAATTCAGAGATCTGTTGTTAGGTAGATGGTCAAGAAGTAAAATCAACCAGTAGCTAGTTGGGAGTAGTAACTTGAGTATTCCCTTTGTTTATAGCCTCCCTAGCTTGTGATATTATGCAAGTTAAGTTTTACCTGTTAAGACAGGGTGCAGGTCAAAATAGGAATCAACACAACTTCTTTATGTCTGCCGTAATCTTCCTCAGTATGTGTAGTGGCTAGTTTTGCCTGAGTACTGTAATTTTTCTTAGGCTTTTCCATGGTTCCCTTTTCATATCCAAGAGAACAACAAGTTCTTTCTTTGCTCAGAAAGACCAGAGTGGCTCATCTAATAGTGGCATGAGAGGAGATGGGATGTGCTGAACAAATGTGAAAACATCTTGCAGTCTAGTTGCTCTCTGTACTCTAAGTGAACTTGAATAATAAGTCAGGACTTAGCTTCTCTTCCTTTATCACCTTAAATGACTTATGAACTTTTTTCTTTGCTTTTAATATTTCAGAATACCCCAGTTTCATTTTAATTATATTCTCATACTTTACTTTTTAAACATTTAAAGCCAGCTAAAGGGCTTACTTTGCCTGTTCTTGGAAAAGTAGTGGATTTGTTTAGGCCTCCAAATTCTGCAAAGCACTCAAGCTTATGCATCAGTGCTCTGCTGAAAGCTGTAGACCTGCAAGCTGACTTGGTAAGTGCTATAGTTGCATATCATTGCTGGGAAGATTGTGATTACAGAAATAGGGTATTTGTACTTGATTGAGGAAAATCTTGGATTATGGTGTGTCAGGTATTCAGTTTCATCTTGTTAATAGTCTATGAGATGCTAACCATTTCTGACTGGGTGCTTAATCACTTGTGATTCAAACACATGTTAAAGATGTATCAGAACACTCAAAGTACCAACACTTCTGGATACTACGTGACCAAGGTTTGTTCATAGAGCAGCCTAAAGTTGCAATGTGTAGATTATTTGAGACTTTTGGAATAATCTGTGTGAGCTACAATACAGTCTTCAATTTACACGTTTGTGTTTTGAATGGTGGGAGTGGAGACGGGGGGATAAAATTAAAGCAGCCTTTATTATTCTACTTGGGACAATTTGTTTTAGTAGTCACAGATGACAATTTTTTGGGTTTTCTTTTGTTCTAGGTACAAAGGATCTTGTGGTAAAAGCACAGGTTTTAGCTGGTGGTAGAGGAAAAGGAACATTTGAAGGTGGCCTTAAAGGAGGAGTGAAAATAGTTTTTTCGTAAGTTTTTTCTAAATTATCCAACCAAGTGGAAAAACTTAAAAGTTTCACATTATCAATTGAACCTATTGCTTTCTTGAAAACAAGTGTTTTAATTCTTAACCTTAAAATAACAAAAATTAGATAAGATTTTTTTAATGCTACTTCTGTTTTTCCAGCAGTTTCTGTGTCACATTCTGAGCTTCTTTTATTCTAGTCCAGAAGAAGCGAAAGATATCTCCTCCCAAATGATTGGAAAGAAGTTGTTTACCAAGCAGACAGGAGAAAAGGGCAGGATATGCAATCAAGTATTTATCTGTGAGCGCAGATATCCCAGGAGAGAATACTATTTTGCAATAACAATGGAAAGGTCTTTTCAAGTGAGTAATATGAGAAATAGAAGTAAGCTAGTTAACTTGTTTTAACTGAATTTTCAAAAAATCAACAAAACTGTTTATTGTACTGTTGTTCACTTGCTTGCTTTTGAAAATCAAAAGTATATATGAGCTAAATTTTGTTTTCTAATATCTCTGACTTTATGATTGCCTTAGTTTTGTAGTGCTTTAAAGATTTAAATGCTACAGTTTAAATTTACGGGATAATAAATGAGCATCGGTAGTCCCAGCTGAAGTTCAGAGTCACATGGCTGAAGGGGAAATGGGTGGAATGAGGGGGTTATTTTCATTTTGGTTGTAGCTTGCACCTACTACTGGATGCCCGTATTGGCTGTATTTTTAAACTAAGTTCTCAGTGTGTATGGGTATGTCCCTCGATTTTGAGAGTGCTGGTAGCTTTCTTATGCCAGTGCTCTTCAGGAAGTGGTAAGAAGATTTGGGCCTACAGGTCTGTCTTCAGAGCTTTCAGGAAAATGAATACCACAGTTTTTTCTGCTTGTATGAACTCTATGTGTGGGCATGTAGTTTTTTTAGGCTACATTTCAAGCCAGGTTACTGAAATGAGTCAGTGTTTTCTGACAAACAAGTGTTCTACTGTGGAGCATAGAGCATGACTTGGTAAATAATTTTAATGAAGCTGGGATAAAACAGATCTTGGAACTTTTATTTTTCTGAAGCTCAAAAAAAACGGGGTTTTTGTTCAGATGCATCTGTTCAGATGCTTCAGAGTTTTCAGAGGCGCTGGTTTTGGTAAGTGGAATATTTCTGGTGGGAGTATGAAATGATATTCTGTGGAGGAATTAGAAAACTAGCCGTGCTCTAATTTTTTGGTGACAGTATTAGGAATTAAATATTGTATTTGCTCCCTTCTCTTCCTGTGGAGTATTCTTTTTGATAGGAAAGCATCAGTTGTTTTGGATTTTAGTACAATTATGTGACCTAGGCACCTACCTATTTGCTGTAATAAAGCAGGGAAGACTGAAATGTTGCTGGATGAGCCCCAGATTTGCCACAGGGTGGCGCTATAATGCTGTGAATGAACAGATTTAGACTCTTAAAATTGTGTAAGCAATAAGCAGGGATCCTTATGGAAATAAAATTTACTGTAACTGATTTAAGCAAATTAGATAAAGAAGGGAAACACGTTTTCCTGACTTGTTCTTGCTCTTGTATGAAAAAGAAATCTTATTTGTGTATATTGAGTACACTGTGTGGGCTATTGCCTTGTGATAGGGATATGCTTTGTTTTTATTGCTGACTTCATAAGTTATTTTTTTAAATGTGCTTGTAGTTGCTGTAACTTGCATAGGATGCTTGTGGTGAGGAAATACCTTTCAAAAGAAGGAAGTGTGAGGATTGAATAGCACACAGTGTTTATTCCTCATGTTGCAAACCTCTTTTTTTAAGGGGGAAGAAAGACTAAAATAGTCAGCTGAAACTGGAACTTGGTGACGTGGATTTTATTCGCCAACAGGGGTTTATGCTTTAAGCAAAAGTGTTCACTTCAATTGTTATTTTATGAAGTGTTTGTAGCTTCCTGACAGTTCAAGATACGAATATCCAGAAATGTTGTGTTCAGCCTTGTTATTAGATGCAGGATAATTTGCCAACTATATATTTCCATTTGGAAGGATGGTAATGGGAGGGGAATGGTATGATTATTAAGCATGTTCTCTGAACCAGGGTCACATTAGCTATAATTAATTGTCAACAGTTATAAAGCTGTTTAATGTTTAAGACCTCTGCTGATAAGTACACCCATGCTTTAGTACACCCCTGGTCATAATCCATGCTTGAGTGCTGATAAGGGAAGGTAGGTTGAGGTGATACAAGTGAGTGCGTTTTAACAGTGAACTGGAGGAGAGAGTTTTAGGTTCCACGATAGCAAGTCCTTAATGCTTTTGTTGAGATTTAGGCAGCTTAAAAAAACCCCAAACAAAAAAATTGCTGCAAATGCTATCATTGCTGGTTTCCTGATTTCTTTTATTATGGAATCATTCAGTGCTGTTTTGTCAGAACTCCATGACTTACTTTCAGTGATTGCTGTAGTTGCTGAACAGGTGTGGGTTTGCAGTAATTTATCATTAGATTTTGCACACTTACATTTGTCCTTGGAGTTGGAGCATGGCAGAATGAATAAATGAATGCCTGGTGTTTGATCAGTGTTTGTATAGGGGTTAGTGGAGAACATGGAGATGAGAAAGTTGTTCTTTCTCTAGTAACAACCTAAAAGATAAAATGCATATGGTTACTAAGTTGAGTCTTTCTATCAGAATTTAAAACTAGTGTGTCTGTGTTAACTGCTCTGTTGTTTTAGTGGACACAAAGGACAGTTTTCCTTTTTAAAAGGAATTAGACCCAACATACACCTTAAAATTTGGAAAGTGTTATTAAAAGGTTTTATATAGGAGTATTGAGAAGATAATAACACTCTCCTCAGAGGATACAAGTAAAATGCTCAAATAAAAAAAAAATTCTTACAAGGTTTTATTGCTGTAAGTTATCATGTGGGAAGAGCTGAGTTTCGATTTTGTGGTATAAAATTACTTATGCCTTTTTTTTTTCCCTCTCTGTTTTAGGGTCCTGTGCTGATAGGCAGTTCTCAGGGTGGTGTTAATATTGAAGATGTTGCTGCAGAGAATCCTGACGCGATAATTAAGGAACCCATTGATATAGTAGAAGGCATAAAAAAGGAGCAAGCTGTTAGGGTAATTGTTAATGTGGGACAGTACACATTATCAAGGATGGGAGGGCTGCTTCTAAATTTTGTAAAGTTTATGTGCATTCAACCTACTGAGTTGTCATAAACACTTTTTTGAAACAGATTTGAACTAGATACTTGAGTATTTTCAGGTGATAGTGTAAATCCAACTACTTGGCAGTGCTTTATCTAGCTTTTATATGGGTTTGTAAAGGCATGTGATAATAAATTTTTACTAGCTGTGTTTTAGGATAAGTGCAGTGTTTTGTATTGAAAACAATCTTTTCAAACTTGAGAGTTACTCTTTTGTTTCCCCCAGGTAGACAGGACAGGTTCTACATCTGTAAATTCAATCGACACTGAAATAGTAGCTAAACTGAGACACCGCTAACATGAATTAACCGATAACCAATCTTTTATTTTCAGCTTGCCCAGAAAATGGGATTTCCTCCTAATCTCGTGGATGAAGCAGCTGAAAATATGATCAAATTATATAATCTCTTTCTGAAATATGATGCTACCATGATAGAAATAAATCCTATGGTGGAGGATGCATCAGGAGTTGGTAATGTTTCTTACTCGTATGCTTCATGTACCACCTTGGTGTTTTTGTAAATCTTGCTTGCTTTGCACTGCTAAAACTTCAGCTATATACAGCAAGAGGACTTAACCTTAACACGGTATGGTGAAAACCAAATTAAATACAGCAAATAAATTTGGCAGTCTAAACATAGTAGATATCTGTTCTAAATTGCTAAGTAGGATCTTAAGTTTAAGCAGCTTCCTATTTTAATTTTTCAAGGTTTTACTTTTTAAAGAACACATCTTCCACTCTTGAGTCACTACCCAGGATAAGGCATTCATGGAAATTAGGTCTTTTCCAAATTCATGAATTGAAACTTGAGCCATCTCATGTATCCAGAACTGGTACTGTAAAGGTAACCGGAATAGTAACACCTTCTAGACATCTCCTGCCTTTACTATTCAGGCATCAGAATGACTGAATGATTGGGTTTGATGTATTAAAAGACATTACTGATGTATTAAATAATACCTTGATGGGTATCAGTTTTTTAGCATATGCAATTGCAGAATAGTTATCTAATATTCAATCACAACTAATTCCCCTCTTGATAAAGAATAAATCTGTAGAGAATATTTGTACTTGAACTCGGGTGCCACACTTTTAAATTTTAAACACAAATGTAGCCCTTTGATCAAAGTTTGTAATTATTGTTGCTGAGCATTCCAGATTTTCCACGTGACCTGCCACATCTAAGTAAAACTTAGTTTTGTGTGTTTTCTCCCAACACCTTTATTTCTTCCAACTCAGACATGTATTTCATTGTGTTTGTGTGTGCTTACATGCATGCATCCACACTATATATACTTAATCTAAAAGCAAAAAACCCTCAAACCAGAGATCGTCTGTAAGAATTAATTATATGCTAATTACTGAAGCATAATTTGTCCAGATTTATCAAACAGCTCGTTGTTAACTTTTTTAGTTTTAGAGTGTCTCAAGAAACAGTTATCCTCCTTTTTGTGCAGTTAAAGGTATTTAACTGATTGTGTGGGTAAACTGGAGAGAATCTTGTATTTACTTGCAGTGCTAAGTGTGTCTTTTCTGCAAGTCTTTTTGCTTGGACTGTATTAGCTATCTGCCAAGTTTGGCTTAACATACTTTAACACATTCATGTAGCAGTTGAGCTTTATTCTGATATTAAATGATGGTTAGTTGTGGGGTTTTTTTTTCCCTTTCAGTGATGTGCATGGATGCAAAGATAAACTTTGACAGTAATTCAGCCTTTCGTCAGAAGAAGATCTTTGATATGCAGGATTGGACACAGGAAGACCAAAGAGACAAGGATGCTGCAAAAGCAGATCTCAACTATATAGGATTGGATGGAAACATAGGCTGCTTAGGTATGCTCTATTTAATGAATTTCAAATGACCTAATGGATTTATAAACCGAATTCCTAAATGTTATCTTTATTCTCATGTAGTCAATGGTGCTGGTTTAGCTATGGCCACAATGGATATAATTAAACTTCACGGCGGAACTCCAGCAAACTTCCTTGATGTTGGTGGTGGTGCTACAGTGCAGCAAGTGACAGAAGCCTTTAAGCTTATTACCTCTGATAAAAAGGTGAGGAAAGAGTTGGCGTATCGAGGTCCTACACAATGGCAAACAGGCTGGGATTTGGAAGACAATGCTTAGTGCATGCTCTCCAGAAAATATGATTTTATAAGAGTAGAATTAGAAAGGGAAAAAGATGGAGATGTTAGTTTAATCTTGATGCAGATAAAGGAGGCATGAAAACCTATTGCATTTTCTCACTTTTTAAAAAATAGGTTCTTTGGCTGTATACTGAATAGACAGTTTTGTGTTTTTTGGTTGAAGTTAGAGCTGTATTTGAATCGAGAAATCTTGGAGTTGGGAACTCCCACAGACCACTGTTCAAACAGAAAGCAGTATTCAGATGGGTTTCCACTTTTTTTTTCTTTTGCAGCTAGGTCTGCTTCGTGTATAGTGTTGTAGAGATGAATGTTTGCTGTCCTGTGCACAAACAACTTTCTAAAGTACTGGTTATGTGTAATGTAAGATAAAATAACTTTGTAATGGGCTTGGGAAGGGCATTAGTGTTTCATCCTAATAAAGTTTATCAGAAATGTTTGCATGTTATTAAAATAATAAATCAGTTGAAACTAGAGGAAAAATTTTACTGTTCCAGAAAAATAATGTGAGGACTGGAATGATGGTCTGCATAAGAGATGCTTATCTCAGTGGAAACTTGGCAGTTTGGGCCTTTTTAGAAAGAAAGAAAGTATTAAAAAAGGGGTAACCGAAAAAGGTGGGAGTAACTTGCAAAACCTGGTGATGATATGCTACTTTTGCACAAGAATGTTGGGCACCACTTGCTCATCTTTAGAAGGGACCAGAAACAAATAGTGAGTGATTTAACATAGGAGCTTAGTCTCTGCCTCATTGGAAAGACTTTTATTACCAAATGCAGAGTCTGGCACACGCTGCAAGAGTGTTTAGAATCACTGAACCATTTAGATTGGAAAAGACCTTGAAAATTCAATCCAACCATAAGTCTAACACTACCCACTTCTGTACTAAACCTTGTCCCTAAGCACCATGTCTACAAGTTCTTTAAGTAACTTCAGGATTAGGGGCTCAACTGCTTCCCTATACAGCTTGTGCCAATGCATAACAACACTTGAGGGGAAGAAATTTTTCCCAATAGTCAATCTAAAAATCACCTGGTGCAACTTGAAGCCATTTCCTCTTGTTTTACTGGTTGTTATTTGGGAAGAAAGACCAACCCCCACTTCACTACACAACCTCCTTTCTATGGCTCTCTAGTTGTAGAGAGCTGTAAGGTCCCCCTGAACCTCCTTTTCTCCAGGCTAAACAACCCCAGCTCCTTCAGCCAGTCCTCATAGGACTTGTTCTTTCTTCAGATTTTCCCAGCAAACTGATGGAATGGTGAGGGACACAGGCACAGAACATCTAAATTGCAGAGAGAAAAGGAGAGAACAAGGGAGAATCTGGGGGTTGGTGATCTGGGACAAGTTTTTGGGATGCCATTTCTCTGCTGATGTATGGACAGAAGGTGTCCAAACAGATATAATACAACTTTTCCTTTCTGCCTTCTTTCAGCTGCTCTCTCTTTTATCAAAAAATGATGACTATAACTGAGATTCCTGGTGCTGAAAGTCAAACAACTGTGCAGCCTGCTTGTGACGTGGACTGCAGTCTGACTGGCACTCGGGGTTCAGTTCAGGGCTAGTTTGGAACAGCCTTCTGGGATGTCAGTCTAAGTTGCTTTTGCCCATCAGTAGCAGAAGCGATAATGATGTAACAAGATGAGCTAGTCTGATTGCAAGATAAGGAGAACCAAGTTACTGTTCATTAATCAGTTGCAATGGAATGTTTTGTGCTGTTAAGTTTATTCTGTCCTCCAAGGCTGTTTATCCATTTTGGCTCCTGCTTTATTTAATTTTTCACCATTAACTGTGATTTTCTTACCCTTCCTTTCCACTGCTTGAGTAGGAAAAAGACTATCCTTTAGCTGTCAGCTTAGTCCTCTTGAATAAAGTTTAGTTCAGATAGCTTAACTCTAAGCATGCTAATTTTTTTGTGAAGTGTGTGAACGCTCTTTTGTGTAAGAATTTTCTAAATTTTCTCTGTTCTTTAGTGCAACATCTTCAGTATGTGGAGGTACTGGTGTGGGAGGTACCTCTGCTGGGAGTACTGTTAGAAATGGAAAGACAAGCAGTTGATGAGTTTGATTTCCTGAAGCAACTGTTCTGCTCTGTGTTATACTGTATGTTTTGCTGTACTTTATAGAACTGTGCTTTTGTTGCCACTGTTCTCTAGAACAGAAATGTTCTGCGTCTTTTGCAGAATCCCTTAATACATTTAAAGAGCTTGAATTTTTCTTAGGCTGAAAGGTTGAGTGGTGCTTTTATCTGATGTGCTTTTGGCCGTTTTTAACAGGAATATTGTCATTGATTCTGTAGGTACTGGCTATTCTGGTAAATATTTTTGGTGGCATTATGCGATGTGATGTTATAGCACAAGGCATTGTTATGGCAGTAAAGGATTTGGAGCTAAAAATCCCTATTGTGGTACGGTTGCAAGGTGAGTGTGCTTCATATATATTTGAATATATTTCTGTCCATATTGACAACTATTACTGAGCTTGTATATTGTAAGTTGAAGTCTATGGAAAAGTATGGCAAACCCTGAGTTTAGATGGTGGGGATTGGCGAGTTAATAAAAAGAGGCTTACTACTTTGAAACTACTAAAGGTGTCTTTTAAATTTATTCACTAACTTTTGGAAGACATTCCCTAGTAGTAGTACTCTCCTGTTCAATAAGTGGCATTTTATCTGTTTCTTAAGGTACACGAGTTGATGATGCCAAAGCTTTAATAACAGCTAGTGGCCTCAAAATCCTTGCATGTGATGACTTGGATGAAGCGGCAAAAATGGTAAGATAGCTGGTTATGAATATTCTTTTCAGAACGTAGCATCTGTTGCAGATTTTGATAAGTTGAAACTCTGTTCAATCAACTTAAGGTAGCTTAGGATAAATCAGTGTCAGTTGTTATTATCAGAACCTGAAGCAAATGTTTAACAACTTACTAAGTACATAGTTTGTCAGGGAAACAACTATGCGGGCAGAACCTACTGAACCCCAGAAACCAAAACCAGACCAATAATCAGATCAGTCTCTCCTCTTGGTAGCGGAGTGGCTAAGAGCTTAACTTTATTAATTTTGAGAAAATATTTAAATTGAGGTGGATGAAAAAATGCAATGTAACACTTCCTTTGATACACCACTGTATTTCAGTCTGCATGATTAAAACCGTAGTTGATCATCCTGTTGATCTAATTATCATAAGATAATTAGAAAGTTAGACAGACACATTGTTTGTGATTTTTTTTTTGGTGTGTGTTTTGCCTTGCTTTGTTTTTGCAAATCACATTAGAAATATGTAGCAACAGTGAAGATGAAAATTTTTGATCTGCAGAAAGTTAGAAGGCATCTGATGGATTTTTTTATCATGAAGAAACACATTTCTGAGTCTTTTTTTTTTCTAGAGAACCACTTACTCAGTTATAACATTTCATTCTAAGCAAGAAATAATTCAGAGAGATTTAGAGTTGTTATGCAAGAGAAGATGAGGCTTCATAAGGTATCAAAATAAGATCCAGAAATGCTTGCAACAAAAACTCAGAGAAGAAATAGCTCTAGATATGTAGACTCTCTTGTGAGCGGGTACCCCAACAGCTCCTAGGATAATAGGGTGGCACATAAAATTTAAAGCTTTTAGCATTTTGTCAAGATATTTGGTTGTAAATGAGAAACAAACATTATTATCTCAGATGTTTTCTAGAAGACCTGACTATTTTTCATTTAAAAGTTGGTTAAGAAGTACTGAACTAGGTAATAATCCTACCCCCACCCCCCCTTCATGATCTACTGATGATTCTCTGGCATTCCTTTGTTTAAAAAGATTGATCCAGCTCAGTCAAGTTAGGATTGTTTTGAAATTAAGTCGTTGTTTCTTGTTTTTCAGGTGGTGAAGCTGTCTGAAATAGTAAGCTTAGCAAAGCAAGCTCAGGTGGATGTTAAATTTCAGTTGCCAATTTGATCTGAGAAATGTCATGCCAGTGTCTAACATGTTCTCTGAAATACTGTGTTCTGTGGGATATTTTTAATTTTTCTTTTTATGGAGGTATTGATTGACAGGCGCACAAACTTAAGTATCTGGTCATTAATGTTAACATTCAGAATGGTCAGAATTCTTGTAAAAGCATGTATTGCTGATACTTAGTCTCTCTTTGTTGTTATTCTCAAGCCTCCAGCTTTTGCTGCAGAATGTCACTTGCAATATACTTCTGCGTTGTCCAAAGTAAAGCTTCTGGTTGGAAAATAATAATTCTGAATAAATTTTTGAAGTTACTTTACTTGTAAATTTGTATTAGCCTTGGTTAAAAGTAAATATGACTGGATTATCTAGTTGTCCATGTGGAGAAATGTATTGAAACGGTATTTTATGTTGGAGACAGTTGTACTTAGCAGTACGATGGACATGAGCAAATCAATCATTATTTATGAACAGATGCATTTGAACTTGATCAGAACTATTTTTAGAAGTCCTTCACTGAAGTAACTGGTAACTCTTCTGGACAACGTGTTAAATCACTACAAAATATACTGTAGCACTTAGATTTTCACAGTTTCTGGTCTTCGCAAAAAAGCATTGTGTAGTTTTATATATGAACAAGCATTTACCAAACTTCAAGGAGACAGGATACGTAGATAATTAAAATGTCTCTTGTACATTGCTAATAAAATTGTACATTAATAAAATATCTCCCAAAACTTTTACTGGCTTTTTCTTTATTTGTTTCCATTTTGAAAAATTGCATATGGATTAAACCATAATTTAAGATAGCAAACTAAAAGCTTTTTAGGAATAAAGTTACAGTGGCATACATTAGTTTTTTTCCTCCTTGAAATGCATTGTGTGATTAAAACCATGTGAACGAACGTGTGTTGAAAAGCTTGGACAGATATCATGCATATAACATCCTTCTAAAGAGTCCATAACTGATCTCTGCACAAATAAATATGCAGGAAAGTATTGCTTTTTGGGGAAATATTGCTTCTAACAAATCTAGTATTAGCCATTAATTATTCTTACCTTACTTATACCACCAGTGCTGTTGATTTTGTCAGTACATTGAACTTGGAACTTGGATGATGATCTTTTTATTCAGTACTCATTTTTTGTTTGTGTTTTGTATCTGCTTTTGTTTAAAATGTTAGATTCTTGACTAATGATAGTGTAGTTTTATATGGAAATAATGAAGCCTTATCTATGGTGGGATTTCAGAATGGGAAATCATATAGTCATGAACAAAGGACTTGGAAGGATTGTATAAAATGTGGGGAAACCCACAGGTGCCTCAGGAAGCATGAAGAAAACATGTTTTTGAGGGAGGTGGGGTAATAAATAAAGAGACCTTATACTAGGATAGTGTATTTCAGTAATTTTTTGGCAGTACTAAAAAAAAAATCAGCAGAAATTAGATTCCCTCTGAATTTAAACTGGGTTATTTTTGATCCTAGTTGATCTTTCACAACTGAGTACTATATACTGTTGACCTATCATGCTAAATTGGGCTTCTGGGTATGCTAGGAATTGCTTCTATTCAATGGCCTTGGATTGATTTGTGGACGTAACTAGTTTGAATACATTTGTTAGACATTGAATAATTTAGTGAAGATAATTAATTTTTAGTATGTGGGTTCGCTTCTAGCTTTATTTTTTTTTTTTACTTTGAAATCTGTGTGAACTAATAATGTGCCAGGTAAGGAACATCCGTAAAAAGGTAATTTAAAAAAAACCCAACAACATACCTAAACATACAAGCCAAAAGTAATTGATGTTGTGAAAAAAATGACAAACGAAAATGGTCTTTTCATACAAACTTGGTGCGGAGTGTGTGGGCAAAAATAGATCTGGCTGTTGATCCAGAATTTGCTTACACCTTATTTGAACTGTTAAATGTCATAGAATAGGGGAGAGGAAGGCAAGTCCATCTTTGAGAGGAATGTAAAATACTGACATTCTCACTAAAGTCTTTACATGTAACAGACATGACAGAAAACAGCGTTTTGCCATTAGGGGAATTCTAAAGTCCAAAGTATTCCTTTAACAACAGATAAAGAATAGGTGTGGGATAGGAAGGTGGCTGCACACAGTTTCCCAACCAGAGTGTTCAGAAGGTACCAAATCACTCTCCTGGCTGAAAGAATCTGTAGAGTGGAATATAGTAATGTTAAGTTACTTCAGCTATGCTTATGGCTTTGTAATCCAAGTATTTCCTAATAGGAAAAAATTGGAAAATTTCCCTTTGGAATTGGCTGTGTGTAAGGGGTTGGATGGGATGTCACAGCCACTATGGCAGACATGGAAGGAGTGAGATCAGTAATATGAAGGACTGTGACCAGGATGGCACATATAGGTTGTATATATAGGTGTGAGTAGGGAGCCCCTGGTGGTCTAGAGGGTAAAGGCGCTGCGCTGTCACCGCAGAGACCCGGGCAGATGGAACTCGTTAGCCCTGTAAGGCAATCCATCTACGTCCTGAGGACCTCGCTGCCACCGTCCAAGCTCGCTTGGCCCCAGCAGATGAACCTCAGGATTAAAGGGTGGGCTCAGTTCCGTGCACACTGTGTCTCACCTAAAAAAAAAATCCATTGCACAGGCTGGAAGGTGTAAAGAAAGACCTTCCCCGGTTCTTCGTTCGCGAAGACTGGCCATTACTTACAGGTGTGAGTCATGCCCCTTTCCAAAGACGGGTCTGGAAATGTTATTTCTTGTTATTTCACTTGATGAAGAAACAGAATTAGCGATTGAGTGATTTATGTTAAGTATCTTGAAATAAGTAGGCACATGGAGATTACTCTAATTAATGAGGTGCAAGAGTGCTATGGAACCTTTTAATTATGTGTATGTTTTAATCATTTTTCAAACTGTTTTGCCTAAATCAAAGGATGTTGCAACCAAGGAATGTTAATCCATTTGGTGTGTAGTTGATAATTTAAAGGCCCAAAGCTCATGTAAGAACTGTCTAAATCTATTTAAAGCCTTTTAGACAACCTCCTTACCCATGCTTTATTGTAATATTAATAATCAAAAGATTTGTAAGAACTGAGACTTGCCGAAATTAGTCAATACAGCCAAAAGCAAAATTTTTAACAAAGTAAACAAAACATGAAAAATGCGTAAACAGCTTCTTACAGATGAGAGCTTCAAAGGAGCAGGAATTTTAATGACAGGAGCTTACATTAGTTGACTTACTGCCTTTTGATGCATTAGTCATTAAAGCAGAGTTTTGGAACTGTTTTAAAATACCATAAAAGCAAATGCCTCTTTTTTAAAGTAGTGTAAATAACTGCTACTAATCTTGAAATTCAGAAATTAGCTGGTCTTGTTTTCCTCAGCAACCTCAAGTGTTGGACTCGGGGCACTTTGTGACCAGTGCACTTGAGAACAGCTCTGGTGAAAGTTAAGGGTGAAAATTATTCCATAAATATTTGAAAATATTAAGTATCATACTTTTTTATGTGTTACCTACTCCACCAGTTTCTATTTAATATATTAAACCACTTTCTACTGAGATACTTTGGTAAAATAGTTGACCTTCATGGAAAAACAGACAATAGGATTCTAAGTAGTATTAATATAGATACTGTTGTGTGATGTAATCAAATTTGGCTAAAACAGTTCTTATGCTAGCATCCCTATGTTGAACAGTTTGAAAGAAGTAAAAACAATGGAACTCGAAAGGACTTGGGATTAAAGCTGTGTTTGAAATTACTTATGGATCTAATGCATTTAAGGTGGGGAAGGCCTGTATAATAACAACTTGAAAAACTCCCTGCAGCGAGGAGAAAAACTCCAGTTTCATGAAAGGGAAACTGCTCAACTTCAAGTAGCTACCAACTTCTTACCTTGTCCAGATGAAAGTAGTCCTGGATTTATTGGAGGCTTAATTGCAGGCTGAGAGTGTACTATTGTAAAACAAACATTTAAATTCCAATATCAAGCTGTTACCAACAAAAGCGAAAGTTGACGTACGATGTGGATGAGGCAAAAGCTCACCTGTGAGCTGTGGGGGGGGCTGTAGGCAGAAGGTAGTTAATTTCTGCTATTTTGTAGTGGGGAACCTGTGCGTCAGTGTAATAAGGCTTACTTCTAAATCATTATGTCAGTCTGCCTGATGAACCTCTTAATCACTGCAGGTAGTGTCTGTAATATCTACTATATCCCAGTGACGGGAAGTTTCAGTGTAAGAAAACTTATATACTGTCTGGTGTCTTGAGAAAGAGTTGTTGTAAGGTTTTCTTCTCATGAGGGCAGATAGGGAGGAGAAAAAAGTGCAGCTAAATCTCCTTAGTGAACGGAGAATGGGGAAGGAGGAGGCATAAACTGTCTGTTCCTCCCAGAAAGTTGCCTGGAAGTCAGGTGAAGTACCAAGCACTTGAGGAAGAAAGAGGAGCAGAGTTTATTACTAGATCTAATATCCTGTTTCAGCCAGTCTGGATAGACAATGGCAGCCTTGATGCCTACTGGCTGCAAAACGTTTAATATGAACTGTAAATATCACTGAAATTCAGTCACTGCTTTCTACATGACAGGGACTGACGTCATGAGTCAGGTAAAATATTAAGCTAGTAGGGGATGCCTAGAAAAGGTTCTAGATCTGGGTAAGTAGCAATGGTGCCTCACAAATACACTCTTCCAGTCAGCAGCAGTTTGGGGTTTGGAGTAATTTTAGTTAGAGGTAGACAGTACTGAAGCAAAACAACTCAAAACTATCCATGGCTGCACCCTGCAGTTCCTAGTCTGCAGGTGTGCTTTAGCACGTCAGGTGCGGTTGTTTTTAAGGTGAATGGCTGAAATACTCTGCAGTCCAAATTACATTTCTTAAAGACAAATGGGATAATTAGTTTTCTAAGATGGTATATTATAAATAAGCATTCCTTAAAATGTAATGAAATTTTCTTCAAGGTGCAAGAAACCTAGTGAAGGACTTATAGTTCTGCTGCTTGATGTGTGATTTATTTTTTTTTTTTATCCCTCTTCCATTTAAGTGGGGCAACTTACTTCCATAAGCAGGAAATGCTGAGGCAGTCAGGTGTTTTATCCCATGAGGAACAGGGAAAAAAGGAGTAAAGTCACTCAGTTGTGGTGGCTGATATGGGGCCAGTAAACAGTTTTACTCACAAAAATAAAATCTGAAAGACAGAACTTGCTGAGAATTGATTTTTGACAAAGTAATTATGTTTATTTGGTTTTACCTTAGTCCAAATTTCATGTGTTAAAATACAAGAAACTCTACAGATGTCTGAGAGACAGAGGGTATGGTGTGTGAGCAATAGACAAACAGCCATGGGGATAGTTTATTCCTAAAAGAGAGTTGTGATCTTCCATGTCTGCAGGGCAGGTTATTTCTGGAAGGGTGTCTGTGGTTTCACAGGCAGTAATTATCCCCTTGCTCTAGGGAAGCAGAAATTCAAAGTGCAGGAGGAGAACCCAAAGTGCTGTGCATTAGATGCTCCAACATTTCTGATAATTCAGTTTCCTTAAGGGAAATTTGCAAAGTTTTGTTTTGGTTTGGTTTGGTTTTTGTTTGTTTGTTTGTTTGTTTAATTTGTGGCTTTTGTTTGGGTTTGTTTTCCCCTTCTCACTTTCTTTTGAACTTGTATTATGCTCTGGACTAAAATGATCTTATTTGGTCTCCATCTGCACCAGAGTCCAAAAACATTGTGAGGGGCCTTATCTGTATTCCTGTTTCCTTCAGTTTCTGTGTC